TTACAAGGCTTAATCTAAGCCCTACACTTGTCTTCATCACAAGCTACCAAGTGTACCAATCCTAGGCCAACAAGTGGGTAAATCTCCACTCTCCATATGTCATCATCCAAGACTTCCAAGTGTCACCAATAGGATGCCTACAAGTGGACCAATGAGAGTGTGACACTTGTCACATTTTCTAGAAATTACAAAATGGTCCCTCCTCAAAATATCTTCCACAATAAATTACATAATGGTTCCTAAGACAAATATCCTAAGAAAATTTAATTACGAAAAATATCACGTAAAACAAAAATGTTTCCAAAGAAACTACGCATCTAAGCCCCTACGGGAAAAGTAAGCAAGTAGCATGCTTTTCTACAAAAATAAAGATACACATTTCATGGAAATCAAATGTAATGAATGCATATGAAGTCAGAAATTAAATCCAAGCATGAAGACGAACTCAAAAACCTATATCATGTCTCAAAAACCTTAAGGTTACGCGAAAAAGAAAAATGCCGAAAAAGAAAGAAGATGACACGATCTTCATGAGGACGAAACAAAATCAAAAGGAAGAAGTGTCAGGGACTATTCTCGAGCACTCAAGATGATCCGAAGGGATAAAACCTGAACTCAGAAAAAAGACTTTAACAAAAAAAAAAAATCCGTAAAAATGTGAAAAAGAACCGATTATTACACATATCACAAATATAAGTCTAAAGTTGACTATGAAGTTCTTTGAGCTTGACTGTAGAAAATTCTTTTGGATAATATTTAGCAAAACGAATTATCTTTTGCTTGTTAAAAAATAATGAATCATTTGGACATAAACATGCCATATAAAGAAGTAACTCAGTATTAGTCTCACTAAAACGACTATTTAACTCTTGAAGTTGCATATCTATCACAGAATAAAACAACTCAACATGATAGTAATGCAAGTTTGTCATTTCTTTCACATTCCGTCGTTGTCGACCTTGAGCAAAGAAAATGTCATCCATGTTGGGAACATCAATCCCATGTCTCTCACAAAATGAAGAAACTTCTTCGAGTAAAGAATCCCATCCATCATTCCTCATCATTTGTAGTCATTGCTTACATACTTTGACTAAACACATAGCATTCACAATGTCTTGATCTTTTTTTTTTTGTAGTGTTTTTGATAATTCATTTGTCATTTTTAACACCGCCTTTATCAAATGGAGACTGAATACAAAATGAAAGGATTGTATTGTCCTAAGTAGAATAGTTACTTCACCTCTTTGATCAAATCTAAATCCATCTGTTTTGATAATTTCAAGAACATCAATTACATATGAGAACATTGTAATTAAGCTCATTAAGGTACCATAATGTGAACCCCCAACGAGTGTCTCTTGCACATATAAGAGAAATACTCTGATTTAAGCCTTGCCAACTTAAAAGTTCACAATTGGTTAAGTTCTTCAATAACTTTTGCAATTTGTTTCTCTCGAAGCATATCATAACATTTACATGAGGCTTCAACTACATTCACCACATTAGTAATAAATAAGAAAAAAGTGAAAATCTGACTATGATTCTTTGCCACAACAATAAGAGCTAACTGAAGTTGGTGAGTAAAACAATGAACAAAAAAGACAAATTCATTCTCTTTCAAAATAAGCATTTTGAGACTGTTGAACTTGCCTTGCATATTGCTAGCCCCATCATAACCTTGCCCACGCAATCTAGAAATGCTCAATCCATGTGTAGAAAATACATTATCAATCGCTGCCTTAAATGAGATAACAGTTGTATTTGTAACATGTACTATACCAATAAAACGCTCAATGATACTCCCATTCTTCACATAACGTAACACAATAGCCATTTGCTCCTTTATTGATACATCACGAGACTCATCAACTAAAATTAGAGAAAAATGCATCTCCAATATCTTTAATAAGTAATAATAAAATTGATTATCTCTGTTACAATGGAATTAATAATATGTTTTTGAATCTCTGGTGATGTTAATTTCACATTTGCAAGAGTATTTTCCAATATGACAGCTTTAACATCCTTATTATGATGAGCATGAAATCTCAAAAGTGTAAGAAAGTTCCCTTGATTGTTTGAATCATCAACTTCATCGTGGCCACGAAATGCAAGTCCTTATTGTAAAAGATGACGGATACAATCAACTGATGCAGTTAAACGAGTTCGATATTCAATTCTAGCTTGGTTTGAGTACTTAAAAAAAATTATTTGAATGTGTTGCTTTTGGTTCACTAAAGCTTCACAAGATCTATAAGCTTGGTTGTGGGAATTATTGGGACCTCTGACATGAACTTTGAGTTTTTCCCTCTTCTTCTAATTTGAAAACCCATCATTCACAAAGGTGTCACCTCTTGATTGTTCTCTGATATCTGGCTTGAAAAGGAAGTAGCATAGGCAAAATACTGCATCTTTGGCTATGCTATATTCTAGCCAATTAGAATCTTCGCTAAACCAAGCAGCGTTGAAATGACGTAACCCTTTCCTAAAATTCCTATAAGTAAATTTATGAGTCCTAGGGTGATAAGGGCCTTTTAGATAATATGTTCTACGAAGTTCGTCTCGAATATTAGGTTGGTAACCCATGATTCGAGCTCGTAGTCCTAGATCTGCTTGAAGATCCTCCAAGTTAATGTCAAAACGGCTTTGCTTTAAACTATCATCATTTCTCTCTATAAAAGATGTCAACCCTGATTTTCTTTTTATAGAATTGATTAATTTTTTTTTCTGCATAACTGTTTAAAAAAGAAATAGATTATTTAGGAGAAAAAAAGAAGAAATTCATGATTGTAAATTGCAATTACTCACTCTATCTATCATATTAATTATTAAGTATAGATGTTCCAAAATGCAAATTATATTGACATTAAAAATCCTACAAGAGTACATAAATATTGATAACAACATTGATCACTATAAAATATATGCTATATGAATGCAAACAAAATAACTCTGTCAATGATCGTGACTTGCAATTAATACCCACTACATTTGTCAATTAATTTTTAAAAAAATCATATTATAATTTTCCTATATATACATCTCACATCAAGAAAAAGATAAAAAAAAAAAATTAAAAAAATTGTATACAACAAAATTCAAGGCATAGATTTAGTCATAAACTTGAACTTTCTATTGATTTGCTAACTACATCATTAAATTTCCTTTTTTGGGTTCCAAAAAAGAGATTAAAAAAAAAAGTAAATATATAAAAGAATCATTATCCCTTTTTTAAATATTATTAAATATCTCTTTTCTAATCCCAAGACTATTTTATTTTATCTTGAAAAATTTAAAAATTCAAGTATGGCTGTATCTAGTAGAGGAAGATCTTTGGAGCAGACACCCACATGGGTTGTTGCTGCTGTTTGTTTTGTTTTAGTTGCGATTTCAATAGCCACCGAACATATCATCCATCTTATAGGACACGTATGAACCATTTCAAGATCGATCACATATAATATTATCACATTATATAAAATCATCATAAATTTACTTACAAATAGTAAAATTTGTTACATATATTCACAATTCAAGTAAGATCAAAGTTAAAATAAATGTGAATCATGTGATTCATGTGAAATTGTGAACTAAAAAAAATTAGGATTTCCAAATTCTATATAAAAAAACAAGTATGTTTTACTTGAAAATCAATGACAGACTGATAGCAAAACAAGGCTAATTCTCTTTTGATTATGTTAATGGAGTTTAGAAGAATCAAAATGAGTAACAAAAGTGGATGAAAAGTGGAATTGCTATGCCTTTCCCAGTTTCCCCCAAACAAAAAGAACGGCTTATAAAGTTATGTTGATCTCTTATCCTTTAATATTATTTGAGTCGAATGACTGAATCACCTCATGTGAACATTTTTTTTTTGGAGGGGGGGAGGGGTAAATTTATATATATATATATATATATATATATATAAAATTGTGGAGTGAAAAATCCCCATCCAGTAAGAGTTGTCCACGTCAACGCAATAAAAATTATACTTTTGATCTTTTAGTAGATTGAAGAAGCCCAACCTTGGTCAAGCTCAAGTTAAGTCTCCATTAGCCCAAGAACGCTAAATGCTAAATTTTCAACCCTTCAAACAAGCTCAGCCGGCCCAAGATGTATTTGGCCCAAATGTATTAAGGATTAAATAAGTCCTACGAAACAAAGTATCCCATATGATAGGAAAGTTATACATAAGGGAAAGTCTAACATGGAGATAATTGTAAAAGGAAGTAACTTTAAAGGTAAAGAATTGTATATGGAATGTATTGGAGGACAAACAAGGTGAGTCCTACCACAATTCTACCATCTTTTTGTATATAAATAGAGGCCTAGACCTCCAATAAAGATCATCGAGCAATATACGCTTTTCTCTGAGTAATTCTTGTTACTTATTATTTTATCTTAAGTTAGTTGTATTATTTCTTTTAATTTCTTTTATAGAGAGAAATTTTGCACCTACACTTTGGCATTGTCTGTGGGAATCGTATAAAAATATACTCCCATGAGTGATTCAAGTCATTTATGTTACTACGATTAGGAATGTCAATTAGAGGGTCCACAGCAGCAGCTGATCAACAGATAGAATTAATGTAAAAGATGTGAGAAGAATTCTTGCGACAATTCGAGACACTTCGTCAAGCAAAAGAGGCCAACACGGCTCAGATTATGTTGCTTCAGCAAGGAACGAAGCCCTCCAAGCAGCTATGGCCCAGATAGCACTGCAGCTACCACCATGTGATACAACAGCACCTCCCCCCAACGACAACATTCCTCTTGGTAATGAGGTTCGGCCTAACGAGATTCGGCCTGATGAGGTTCAGCAAGAGCAGAGGACGAGAACTGAGGTGGTCGCTTCGGGCAATCATCCTCATCGCACGTAGAACAAACAGGCCGAGTCCAGCTGTAAGCTCACGGTATAGTCTAATGGTATTCCAGATGGCGCAGGCGTCTAGGAGGCCTTTGACGAGAAGAATCTCCTGAGGATTCAGACGCCCGCCGAGATGGCTAGAGAGTATAAGAACTCTCTAGTGAAGACTCCGTTCGCTGATAATGTATACTATGTTGATAGACCTAAAAAATTTAATATGCCTTCCTTTACTCAATTTGATGGCATAGGGGATCCTTCCCGTCATCTCGATCATTACTCACAGAAGATGGCTTTAGATAATCACAACGATGCGTTCATGTGTAAAGTCTTCCCAACTAGTTTAATGGGAGCCGCATTGGAATGGTTCAAGAAAAGGCCACACAAGTCCATTCTGAACTACGAAACTTTGTGCGCCATGTTCCTAGCTCAATATTGCGGAAACAAGAAGCAGAAGAAGACCATCGCTAGTCTCTTTACTATAAGACAGAAGAGAGGAGAATCGTTACAGGATTTCTGGTCCAGGTTTAACATGGAGACCTCGGAGATAGTAGATTGTCATCCTAAGGCTGCTATAGAAACGTTCAAGATCGGCATGATCCAGGGAACTAAGTTCCATATCTCCCTAGTCAAATATTCCCCTCAAGACATGCTGACTTTCAATGCTAGGGCACAAATCTACATTCGACTTGAGGATAATGTAGCCCATCGAGCACAGTATGCCACCCTTGTCATTGTAGAAAATAAGCCTCGGGAAAAAGTTTCAAGTTCAAAAAGTTAAAGAAGCCAGCATGCCTCAGCACCAGTCGCTCAGGTACCTGAGAAGAGGCAAAGGACAGAGGAGAGGTTCACACCTCTTCATACAACCCTGACTTGGTTATTCCAAGAAAACAAGGTAAGATTTACAGCCCCTCAGCCAATGAGGCAACCTTTGGAGCAAAGTGACAAAAGCAAACAGTGTGCCTACCATAGGGATTAAGGGCATACAACCAACGATTGTAGATCCCTTAGACGGTAAGTGGAAAACTTGATAACCTGAGCTGAGTTGGTAGATTATCTCACACTGAGGATGCCAAAAATGGCTTGGGCCGGGTGCAGCCCATATGATGAACAATGGGCCTGACAATTGACCTAGATCCGAACCAGGCCATTAGCAGGATAGGCCCAAAGCTAAAGAAACAGCGGAGGATTCATTAAACGTAATGAGGCCCTTAGCTCGAGAAGCCCAGGAGGAGGCCCAACACCAGGAGTTAGGTGAGAAACTTCTAGAAGGCATGTAATAACTTATAAATAAGCTGAAAATAGAGGGAAAAGGGATCAAAATATTCTTGAAATGCACAGATACTCTGTCAAAATAGAAAGAGGAATTTCATGCATCTTCAATGGCGCCGTCTGTGGGAAACGACAAAGATGATTCGTGAGGAAGAAGTTTGATCTCTAGAAAGTGAATCGGGATCGTGAGTGATTCGTTGTTCATCTTGCCAAATTCTGATTCTGATTGATTTTGAAGAGATTCGCATTCGATCTACGTAGTTCCGGTTTGTTCTATTCAATCGATCTATGTGATTGTGTCTTCTTTGCCAGAGCTAGATCTAACAGGTCCACGGTGGAAGAGATTCGAATCCAGTCTTGTAAGTTTAGAATTTAGCCAATTCAAATCTAGATCTAGTGTGATTGCATTAGCGACACTAAGATCTGTCCATAAAATTATGGTTAATGACTTTGCTCCGATCAGGAATGATGATCATAGGTGAGAGCTCAAATCCTTTGGATAATGGCCAGCAGTCGAAGCTCAATGAATTGATGAGTGCAATCGAAGTACTAAGAAGAGAGAATGCAGAATTACGAGTTGGAATGGAGTGTCGTGAGGTTCCTGTTCTTCCAAGGCCACCTCTAATAGGAGAGGGAGTTGTGCCTTCCAGTGCTACTCATCACGATGATCCGAAGGAAAACAATCGAATGGATCTTCATCATGAGGAGATTGTGCTAAATAATTTACTTCCAAATGTTCGTCAGGTGGAGGAGCGGGAAGGATCTATCCACTTGGATCCACATCGTGAACGGATCATGCGAGAAGAAGCCGTCACTTTTGATCCAACTCAGGGAAGGTTACGATGTGAAGAAGCAATGGAGTTTGGCCATCATGGAGCTCCATCACTGTGGCATTGGGAATTCATAGATGATAAATCGTTTGATCCACCCTACCGGCCTTCAATGGCGACGTATGATTACAGGAGTTCAGAAGGAAGTTCTACAGATCTGAGGATTCCACCACGGTTTTCAAGGGAGAATGAAGCACTCCGTTCCTCCGTAAAAACGGTTGTATCACCGTTCACTAACGAAATCCTGAACGCTCCAAATTCAAGGAAGTTGTCCATACCGATGTTCATTTTGTTCGATGGAACGACCGATCTGATCGATCAAATTTACCACATTCACTTGAAAATGGCCTTGAATACGAACAATGACCCTTTGATGTGCAAATGCTTCCTTACAAGCTTGTCAGGGCTAGCCCTTAACTGGTTCAAGAATCTAACTCAAGGTTCAATCGCTACCTTTCAGGACTTGTGTGATAAGTTTATCAGCCAATACTATGGAAATAAACGCCCGGCTAAACATGTGTCAAGCTTGTTTAAAATGAAGCAGCACGAAGATGAACGACTCCAGGCTTTTCTCACCAGGTTTGACCTTATCAAGAGTATGGTTATGGAGTGTCATCCATTAATAGCAGTTCAAGCGTTCAAGTTAGCAATGAACCGAGGGACACCGTTCCACACAAGTCTGGTGGTGAATACGCCGAAGACCATGGATGAGCTGAACAAGAGAGCCGATGGTTTTGTGCATCTGGAAGAAGAAGAAGTAGCTAATGCAAGGAAGACATCTATTATCTCCACAGAGGAGAAGTCTAAAGCCAAGATTCGGCAAAAGCAAGCTCTGCATCGTCAGACCTCCTGGAAGGCAAAGAAGAGGCCCCGAGAGGAGGAGTTGCTTACTCCACTTAAAGTCACTCTGGCAAGGTTATTCCAAGAAAACAAAGATAAGTTCCGTCCCCCCTTACCAATCTGACAACCTCTCGAACAGAGAGATCAATCTAAACATTGTGCTTTTCATAGTGATTTTGGTCACCAGACTAATGAATGCAGGAACTTATGGAGGCAAGTGGAGATGCTGATCGCAAGGGGAGAGTTTGTAGGATATGTTCAAGGGCCAGTGCAGGAGCAGAATCGGCCGGCTGAGCAAGTTAAGAGAAATCAAAAGCTGAATCACTATAACACTCAGCCTGTTTGGATTATAAATACAATTCATGGTCGACCTAAATAGACAACAGAATCTGAAGAATTGTTTTGAACGCGCCTTTGCCAAGTGTAGATGAAGAGGCGAATAGGCAGTGTCAACACTCTGCACCATCAGAGTGCATCAACGTAGATAAGGTTTGACAAGACAGACCTACTGCGAGTTCAGATTCCTTATGAGGACCCTTTAGTTATTAGTTTGACAGTGGCAGAGTGCTTAGTACGAAAGGTGCTAATTGATCCAGGGAGCAGTGCAAATGCCATGCCAAGGGTCACCTTTAATCGGCTAGAAATCAAGCCCAAGGCGCTTAAATGTACTGGGAATCCGTTGTTGGGATTCGATGGAAAGTGAGTCAAACTGATCGGCACAGTAGAATTGCTCGTTCGAACTGTCGAGAGGGAGCTTGTCGAAAGCTTTGTGGTAGTGGAGATCCATCCATCCTACAATCTGCTAATGGGGAGAGGATGGATTCATAGAGTTCAGGGAGTCCCATCGACCCTGCACCAAGTGATGAGATGTATGAGTCTGGATGGAAATAAGGTGATTGATATCTATGGGGACCAGGTTATAGCAAATGAATGTTACTCGGTGACTTTGAAGGCCGCAGGAAAGGGAAAAGCTCCCATTCGATCTGATAACCCACAATAGCAATTACAGAAGCCTCCCCCTAACACGAACGGGGAGGAAGAGACTTTGGTGTTGACCAAGGAACCTCTAGCTGATGTTCAGATTGATCATTTGAGGCCAGATCGAACCACAAAAATAGGTTCAGGACTTGGTAAGGAAGAGAAACACCAGTTGATTGACTTCCTTTCCCGGAACGCGAATGTGTTCGGTTGGAGCCATTCGGACATGCCGGGAATCGACCCCTCTGTCTCTTGTCATTCCCTTCATGTAGATCCAAACGTTAAACCTGTACGGCAGAAGCAAAGAAGGTTCACCTCGGAGCGTAACCAGATCATTGCGGATGAAGTTGATAGATTGTTAGAGGCTGGGTTTATCAGACAGGTTCAGTACCCGATCTGGCTGTCGAACCTGGTTGTAGTGCAGAAGAAGAACAGAAAGTGGAGGGTTTGCATTGACTTCACCAATCTGAATAAAGCCTGCCTGAATGATAGCTTTCTTCTTCCGAAGATTGATCAAATGGTGGATGCTACAATGGGGTATGAACGATTAACCTTCCTGGATGCCTATTCAGGTTACAATCAAATCCCAATGGATCCAAACGATGAGGAAAAAACCTCTGTTGTCATCGAACGAAGGACCTACTATTACAAGGTCATGCCGTTCGGACTAAAGAATGCTGGAGCTACGTATACCAAAGGTTGGTCAGCAAGATTTTCAAGAATTAAATGGGCAAGACTGTTGAAGCTTACATCGATGACATGGCAGTGAAGAGCAAACAGGAGGATCATCATTTGTAACATTTACAGGAGGTGTTCGATGTACTGAGAAGGTATGGAATGAGGTTAAACCCAATCAAGTGCTCGTTTGGCGTGGGATCCGGGCAATTCCTTGGCCATGTGGTAAACAATAGAGGGATTGAAGTCAGCCCAGCCCAAGCGGAAGCTTTACTTAAAAATGCAGAACCAATCACTGTCAAGGAAGTCCAAGTCCTCACCGGACGCATAGCGGCACTAAGTCGATTCATCTCTAAGTTATCAGACCGATGTAAGCCATTCTTTGATACACTAATAAGTCACGGAAAGCAATCCCGAGGGGATGAGTAGAGGCAAACACTGACAAAGTTGAAGGAGTATATGCGAAACCCACCAGTCCTGACTGCCCCTAAGCCAGGTGAGAAACTTTTCTTGTACCTTGGAGTTTCCAACGTTGCAACTAGTGGTGTTCTGATACGATGTGAAGAAGGTAAGTAGTTCCCAGTTTTCTATGTTAGCAAAACGCTGATTGAGCCAGAGAGAAGTTATTCGAAGGCCGAATGAGTAATATTATCCTTGGTGAATGCAAAGAGGAAACTCAGGCATTACTTCGAGTTCCATCCTAAAGTCGTTCTGACCACGTTTCCCATAAGGGTGATCCTGCATAAGCCCAATTTGTCCGGACGAATGTCGAAATGGGCAATAAAGCTGAGTTCTTTTGACATACGTATAAACCATGTATGGCCATCAAAGGGCAAGCTGTGGCTGATTTTCTCTTGGAGTGTGATATGGAAAAGCCAGAGGAAAATCCTGAAGACTTTATGTGGAAGTTTTTCATTGATGGTTCTTCGAATCAAATGAGGGCAGGAATTGAGGTTAAGTTACAAACACCAGAAGGCACCACGCTGACCCAGGTGATCAGACTTAAGTTCAGAGTAACCAATAATGAAACAGAATATGAAGCACTACTGGATGGATTGAAGTTGGCGAAGGAGCTAAAGGTCAAAAGCTTAGTCGCTTTTAGTGATTTGCAGATGGTAGTTCGGCAAGTAACTGGGGAGTATGGAACCAAAGATGAAACAATGACGGCATATCGTTCAACCGTTAT